ATAAAAGGGTAATTTAGATGCTCTGGTTGTGCTCGTGTTTGTTCCTTTATGAATGACCTGACTTTGGCCGATGATACAAATAAAGAGGACGATGAAGAAGCAGACGAAGAGGAAGATGAAGATGAAAGAGTTGACGATGAAGAAGAGGAAGATGATGAGGAAAATTTGGCCACAGTGCAGAGACGTTTAAGAGCAAAAAAGGAGAGTGCTCAATTTTCTTTAACTTTCAGAGATATAGAAGACAGCATACGACCTTTTGAAGGAAAACCCGATTATCCAGTAAAGAAGTGGATTGCGGACTTTGAGGAGATGGCGGACATCACCGGCTGGAATGATTTGCAAAAATTAATATTTGCCAAAAAGTCCTTAAAAGGTCTAGCGAAATTGTTTGTCCAGTCTGAAAAAGGAATAAAGTCGTGGACTATACTTAAGACAAAACTGATCGAAGAATTTGAAGTCAAAGTTAGCAGCGTTCAAGTTCATAAGCTATTGATGATGCGAAAAAAAAGAAGAGAAGAGACGGTGCAGGAGTATGTCTTGATAATGAGGGAGATAGGTAGCAGAGCAAATATAGAAGCCGAAGTGATTATACAGTGTATTATTGATGGTATTCCGGAGGATTCTTCAAATAAGGTTATTTTGTACGGTGCTAAAAGTTTTGGTGAATTTAAAGAAAAAGTGAAAATTTATGAGCAAATGAAAACGGCTAGATTGATGGGCGAATCCAGCCAAAGCTCAAGTCAAGGACAGAGGAATAGAAAATTTAAGGAGGACGAACATAAAAACTTTAATGCTAAAGCTGAAGACAGAAGGAAAATAGGAATGGGTCCATGCTATAACTGTGGCAAAAGAGGTCATACAGCTAATGGGTGCCCTGATAAGAAAAAAGGCACAAAATGTTTTGCTTGTAACGAATTTGGGCATGTATCGACAAACTGTCCGAAAAAGAAGCAAGTCAGTACTATCGAGGTTGTCCCGAGGAATGGTGTAAAACTGATTATACGAAACACACAGCTGATAGCTTTACTAGACACTGGCAGCGATATCAGTGCCATTCGATTAGATGTTTTTGAGAATAATTTTTCAGAAACTATAAAGCTTGATAAAGAAGTAGTTTTGCTTAAAGGTATTAGTTACAACCAGGTGGAGACCATGGGTTCATTTTGTGAGACTGTTATAGTTAATGGTGAAGAAGTTACATTAAAATTTCACGTAGTCCCAACTAGCACCTGTAATTTTAAAGCTATCATTGGAAGTGATATTTTGCTACAAACTAACATTACCATGATGAATAATGAGATTGTAATTAGTAAAAAAGAAAAAGAAAACTTTTTAATGCAAATTACTATAGATGAAAGTGAGATCAAAGAAGTAGATGTTAGTCATATTCGAAATAAAGCAATTCAGGAAACTGCCAGAGATTTGATAGAAAATTACAGTCCAAGAAAATGCAAGACAACGGATATAAAAATGAATATAGTTTTGAAAGAGGAGCAACCCATCTATCAGAGGCCAAGAAGGCTGGCGGTGCCGGAAAAAGAAATAGTTGATAAACAAATACAGGAGTGGCTTGACGAAGGTATAATTCAACCAAGTTTTTCTGACTATGCAAGTCCTATAGTTTTGGTGGCTAAAAAGGACGGGAAAACCAGAATATGTTGTGATTATAGGAAATTGAACAAAGTTATAATTAAGGATAGATTCCCATTGCCACTTATTGAGGATGTTCTGGACGGTCTGCAGAACTCACAATATTTTAGTACTATTGATTTAAGGAATGGTTTTTTCCATGTACCTATAGAAAAGAATTGTGTTAAATATACTGCATTCATCACCCCAAGTGGTCAGTACGAGTTCTTGCGGTGTCCGTTTGGACTTTGTAATAGCCCGGCTGTTTTTCAGAGGTTCATTGGGCATATTTTCAGGGATCTAGCTAATAAGCATATTGTAATATATTACATGGACGATTTGATTATAACTAGCAAGGATGAAGAGGAAGGAATATCGCGATTGAAAATGGTCTTGGATGTGGCGAGGGACTATGGTTTGGAGATTAAGAAAGAAAAATGTCAAATTCTAAAGAAGAGGGTAGCATTCTTGGGTTTTATTATCATTGAAGATGGTAAAGTACAGCCATCTATGGAGAAAACTACAGCGATAAGTAAATTCCCAGAACCAACTACGCAGAAACAGTTGCAATCTTTTCTCGGATTAACGGGATTTTTCCGTAAATTCATACCTTCATACTCTTTAATTGCTAAGTCCCTCAGCGACCTGTTGAAAAAAAATGCTGTATTCCAGTTTGGAGAGAAGGAGAGACAAGCTTTCACTAAGCTAAAGGAACTACTTGTCAGTTCTCCGGTCCTAGTTTTGTACCAACAAGGGAGCGAAACTGAACTCCATACGGATGCAAGCAAGTACGGTTACGGTGCTTGCTTAATGCAGAGATCAAATGTGGACAACAAGTTTCATCCAGTATATTTTATGAGCAAAAAAACCAGCCCAGCTGAGGAAAAGTATAATAGCTATGAGCTTGAAGTGCTAGCAATAATACAGGCTGTTAAAAAGTTTCGCATATACTTACTAGGCATTAGATTTCGAATTGTAACCGACTGTGCGGCTTTCCAAAAAACCATGGACAAAAAGGACCTTACTACTAGAGTTGCTAGGTGGGCCTTATTACTGGAGGAATACTCATATGAAATCGTCCATAGAAGGGGATCGCAAATGCCACATGTCGACGCATTGAGTAGGTTTCCTATAGGAGTGATGTTAATTAACGAAGTCAGTGCAGAAAAGGAAGGCATGGTGAAAAGAATCAGGTTGGCTCAAGCTAAGGACGCTCATATTTCAAGTATCATAGAATTACTTAATGCAAAAGGCCAGTATCAAGATTACTTTATGAAAAATGACATCGTTTATAAATATTATAAGGGACGTGAGAATTTTGTACTTCCAGAAGCAATGCAAGATGAAGTTATAAAAAAAGCCCATGATCTTGGACATTTTGGAGTGGCTAAAACCAAGGAGGTTGTGGATAGAGAATTCTACATACCAAACTTACAAGAGAAAATTGAGTTGTGCATTCGAAATTGTGTAATATGCATCCTCGGAAGTAAGAAAGAGGGGAAAAAAGAGGGATATTTGCATCCAATTCCCAAGTTGAGTGGACCGCTTCATACCTACCATGTCGATCATTTGGGGTCTCTGCAAAGTACTAATAAGCGTTATAGACATATCTTAGTGGTTATAGATGACTTCTCTAAGTTCGTATGGCTTTACCCGACTAAATCAACCACAGCACAGGAAACCGTTGGTTGTTTATCAAAACAACAACAAGTGTTTGGTAATCCAGCGCGGATTATCAGTGATCGTGGAACAGCTTTTACGGCAGAAGAGTTTGAGAAGTACTGCGCAGAAGAAAATATAGAGCATATACTAATAACAACTGGTGTCCCAAGAGCTAATGGACAGGTGGAACGAGTAAACCGTGTTATTATACCGGTTCTGACGAAACTAACTTTGGAAGAACCAGACAAGTGGTACAAGTACCTGGATCGAGTCCAGAGAGTGTTGAATTGTACTGTCCAACGAAGTATAAATGCAACGCCATTTGAAGTTTTGGTAGGAGTCCAGATGAGGAATAAGGAGGATATTTTAATAAAGGAATTGCTAGAAAAAGAAGAAGTAAGGGAATTCAATGAAGGTCGAAACAAGATAAGAGAAGAAAGCAAGCAACAGATACTCAAGGTGCAAGAGGATAATAGGAAGAGATATAACTTAAGAAGAAGAAAACCCAAAAAATATAAAGAGGGGGATCTGGTTGCTATCAAAAGGACACAATTTGGTCCAGGACTCAAGCTGAGTCGCAAATATTTGGGACCCTATGAGATCACAAAAAGTAAAGGGCATGAAAGATACAACGTAGTGAAAGTAGGTCATCACGAGGGACCAATGCGGACCACAACTTGTTCAGAGTATTTAAAACCCTGGGTCGGATACGATAGTGACAATGAATCCGAGACGGATTCTATGTCGGATGGCCGAATGTAGGATTAATTATTTAATACAAAAATATGTCATTCGAAAACTCCTCAATATTTCCATAATAAATTATTATAATGCATTTCTTTTAAAAGTTGACCTTGATTCTAAAAATAGACTAGGCGCAGGTATAGGCTAGGAGGGTAGTGGAGATGAGAGGGGGGTAGCTGGCAAGTGGCAACAATAAGTGGAAGTCAGAAGTCAGGGGGCAGTCGGCAACAACCATCATAAGACGTAAGACGTGTTGCTTGACCAGTCGTGACGGGACGTGTCGCGTGGTCTATAATTATTAAAGACGTGATAATTATATTAATTAAAAGACGAGAAGACGTATAAGCATTTTGATGACGATTCTAAGACGAAGTTGGTGATTTTACGAGTTCATTGTGTACCTAGTTGCTAGTTGAAGGCTGTACTGTGGTGGTGCTCCGCTGTTAAATGTGCCTAGTCATTAACCTAAATCCATTCAATCGGTCGGTCAGTGCAATTAAAGTGCGCCAAATATTATTAATATTTAATAATGTGTTTTTATTGTTGAAACCAACCCCCACCCCTAGACAACAAACAAGAAAAGGCCTACAGTTATGTGACTTTGTTTGTCGACTTTCTGCCAAAGTCATTCATAATGAAATAAAAATGAATTTAATCCAACAGTAATTCTTATTCCCTAGTCAAACTTCCCGCGTGTACTAACCCAACCTAAAAACTACAAACAACGAACTACCAAGTGTTCTAAGCATCCTCCTAAATTCCAATATCAGGAATTTACACCATGCCATAATATAAATAAACGAAATTAGAGTTTGTTTCAACAAAGATAAGAAGTCAGAACTAGATTTTCTGATAACATACATCATACATAAGAAATCAGAAATATAAATTAATAACTCAAATGACTGACATTGTCGACATTGAGATCTTGTTGGAACAAACATCAACTAAAAAAACATTCTTACCTAGTTCGTCTCATCGGAGGAACTGGAAAACTTCTTCTAGCTGGTGACGTGGAGTGAATATTCGATGGTGGAACAGTTCTGTTATTACCTCTAGAATCGGCCGTAAAAGTTATTTTAAGGGGTTCAGAGGCTCCTTCAAGGGTGGTACCGTTTAGCTCCTGGATAGCTAGTTCAGCTTCTAAATGTTTGTCAAATCTGATGAAGCCTATTCCTTGTGAAACGCCTATGGACAAAAAAACTGTACTTTAATATGTGTGGGTGCCAACTACAGAAAAATAATGATGGGGTAGTTTTTCCAATTGAAGAAATATCTCATATTAATAGTATCATTCTTTATTACTTCTAGCCAATAACTGTTTGCGAAAACAATAAATTTAGAAAGCGTTAAGTGTAATGTAGGATTCGGTGCCACCCTGTTACCGTCGCGAGTCGCTCCCGCTCGTATCTTTTATCCTCTTCTATCAATCTATATAGAGATATTCCCTTTTTGTCGCCCTGTTGCTACTCTGAGATCCAGCGCGCCTCGCCTATTCAACCGTGACGGTACAGTCTATGTAAAAATAAATAGGCACAGTCGGAAGAGAATTATTTGGAGAAATGAAGAAATATAATATTTACATAATTACAAACGGAAAAAAATACTTATACCTATAAATACAAACACAGATACCGATTAGGTTTCGTACCCTACATTATTTTGATTTTTTTTCAAAATTTTGAATTTTTTCGAACTGAAAAACAAGTAGGTACATTCTTTTAAATTTTGAATTTTTTAGAAATTCATGTTTTTTGATTTTTTTTTTAATCCTTTCATTTTCCAGATTGACATTTTGTGTTTTTTTTTTTTTAAATTTTGAATTTTTAAACAATTCAAATTTTGTGGAAATTTTTGGATTTTCCATGTTTTTTGAATTTTTTTAAATTCTTTCATTTTCTGATCCTTTTATTTCCTTAATTGAATTTTTTATTCTATTTTAAAGTTTTGAATTTTTTGAACAATTCAATTTTTTTAGAAATTTATGAATTTTCCATGTTCTTTTATTTTTTTTTCAATCCTTTCATTTTCCAGATTGATATTTTTTGATTTTTTTTTTAAATTTTGAATTTTTGAACAATTCAAATTTTGTAAAAAAATTTGAATTTTCCATGTTTTTTGAAAATTTTTAAATTCTTTCATTTTCCAGTTTGAATTTTTGTTTTAATTTTTTTCACAAAGTTTTGAATTTTTTATTTATTTTCCGGATTGAATTTTTTTCAATTTTTATTTTAATTTTTTTCAAAGTTTCAAATTGTTTTGAACTGACAAGTACCTACATAATTTTGAATTTCTTGAAGATTCAGAATTTTCTAGAAATCTTTGAACTTTCCATGTTTTATGAATTTTTTTTTTCAAAGTTTTGAATTTTTTGAATAATTCAAATATTTTTCGTGTTTTTTGATTTTTTTTTTCAAATCCTTCTATTTTCCAGATTGAATTTTTTTGAATTTTCAATGTGATTTTTTTTTTAAGTTTTGAATTTTTTCAAACTTGGGAATTTTTTTTAAATTTAAAAGTTTTGAATAATTCAAATTTTTTAGAAATTTTTGAATTTTTCACGTTTTTTGATGTTTTTCTGATCCTTTTATTTCCTTAATTGAATTTTTTATTCTATTTTAAAGTTTTGAATTTTTTGAACAATTCAATTTTTTTAGAAATTTATGAATTTTCCATGTTCTTTTATTTTTTTTTCAATCCTTTCATTTTCCAGATTGATATTTTTTGATTTTTTTTTTAAATTTTGAATTTTTGAACAATTCAAATTTTGTAAAAAAAATTGAATTTTCCATGTTTTTTGAAATTTTTCTGATCCTTTTATTTCCTAAATTGATTTTTTTATTTTATTTTAAAGTTTTGAATTTCTTGAACAATTCAAATTTTCTAGAAATTTTTGAATTTTTCATGGTTTTGATTTTTTTTTGAATCCTTTTATTTTCCGGATTGAATTTTTTTCAATTTTTATTTTAATTTTTTTCAAAGTTTCAAATTGTTTTGAACTGACAAGTACCTACATAATTTTGAATTTCTTGAAGATTCAGAATTTTCTAGAAATCTTTGAACTTTCCATGTTTTATGAATTTTTTTTTCAAAGTTTTGAATTTTTTGAATAATTCAAATATTTTTCGTGTTTTTTGATTTTTTTTTTCAAATCCTTCTATTTTCCAGATTGAATTTTTTTGAATTTTCAATGTGATTTTTTTTTAAAGTTTTGAATTTTTTCAAACTTGGGAATTTTTTTTAAATTTAAAAGTTTTGAATAATTCAAATTTTTTAGAAATTTTTGAATTTTTCACGTTTTTTGATGTTTTTCTGATCCTTTTATTTCCTTAATTGAATTTTTTATTCTATTTTAAAGTTTTGAATTTTTTGAACAATTCAATTTTTTTAGAAATTTATAAATTTTCCATGTTCTTTTATTTTTTTTTCAATCCTTTCATTTTCCAGATTGATATTTTTTGATTTTTTTTTTAAATTTTGAATTTTTGAACAATTCAAATTTTGTAAAAAAAATTGAATTTTCCATGTTTTTTGAAATTTTTCTGATCCTTTTATTTCCTAAATTGATTTTTTTATTTTATTTTAAAGTTTTGAATTTCTTGAACAATTCAAATTTTCTAGAAATTTTTGAATTTTTCATGGTTTTGATTTTTTTTTGAATCCTTTTATTTTCCGGATTGAATTTTTTTCAATTTTTATTTTAATTTTTTTCAAAGTTTCAAATTGTTTTGAACTGACAAGTACCTACATAATTTTGAATTTCTTGAAGATTCAGAATTTTCTAGAAATCTTTGAACTTTCCATGTTTTATGAATTTTTTTTTTTTTTTCAAAGTTTTGAATTTTTTGAATAATTCAAATATATTTCGTGTTTTTTGATTTTTTTTTTCAAATCCTTTCATTTTTCACATTGAATTTTTTTGAATTTTTATTTTGATTTTTTTTCAAAATTTTGAATTTTTTCGAACTGAAAAACAAGTACTTTAAAATTTTGAATTTTTTAGAAATTTTTGAATTTTCCATTTTTTTTTTTTTTTTTAATCCTTTCATTTTCCAGATTGACATTTTCTGTTTTTTTTTTTAAAAATTTTGAATTTTTAAACAATTAAAATTTTGTGAAAATTTTTGAATTTTCCATGTTTTTTTTAGTTTTTTTTTAAATTCTTTCATTTTCCAGTTTGAATTTCTATTTTAATTTTTTTCACAAAGTTTTGAATTTTTTTGCACTTTTCAAATTCTTCTGAACTTTTGGAATATTTTGAATTTTTTATTTTATTTCACAGTTTTGAATTTTTTGAACAATTCGAATTTTCTAGAAACTTTTCAATTTTCCATGGTTTTTGATTTTTTTTTAATCCTTCCATTTTCCAGATTGACATTTTCTGTTTTTTTTTTTTTTAATTTTGAATTTTTAAACAATTCAAATTTTGTAAAAAAATTTGAATTTTCCATGTTTTTTGAAAATTTTTAAATTCTTTCATTTTCCAGTTTGAATTTTTGTTTTAATTTTTTTCACAAAGTTTTGAATTTTTTATTTATTTTCCGGATTGAATTTTTTTCAATTTTTATTTTAATTTTTTTCAAAGTTTCAAATTGTTTTGAACTGACAAGTACCTACATAATTTTGAATTTCTTGAAGATTCAGAATTTTCTAGAAATTTTTGAACTTTCCATGTTTTATGAATTTTCTTTTTCAAAGTTTTGAATTTTTTGAATAATTCAAATATTTTTCGTGTTTTTTGATTTTTTTTTTCAAATCCTTCTATTTTCCAGATTGAATTTTTTTGAATTTTCAATGTGATTTTTTTTTAAAGTTTTGAATTTTTTCAAACTTGGGAATTTTTTTTAAATTTAAAAGTTTTGAATAATTCAAATTTTTTAGAAATTTTTGAATTTTTCACGTTTTTTGATGTTTTTCTGATCCTTTTATTTCCTTAATTGAATTTTTTATTCTATTTTAAAGTTTTGAATTTTTTGAACAATTCAATTTTTTTAGAAATTTATGAATTTTCCATGTTCTTTTATTTTTTTTTCAATCCTTTCATTTTCCAGATTGATATTTTTTGATTTTTTTTTTTAAATTTTGAATTTTTGAACAATTCAAATTTTGTAAAAAAAATTGAATTTTCCATGTTTTTTGAAATTTTTCTGATCCTTTTATTTCCTAAATTGATTTTTTTATTTTATTTTAAAGTTTTGAATTTCTTGAACAATTCAAATTTTCTAGAAATTTTTGAATTTTTCATGGTTTTGATTTTTTTTTGAATCCTTTTATTTTCCAGATTGAATTTTTTTCAATTTTTATTTTGATTTTTTTTCAAAGTTTCAAATTGTTTTGAACTGACAAGTACCTACATAATTTTGAATTTTTTGAAGATTCAGAATTTTCTAGAAATCTTTGAACTTTCCATGTTTTATGAATTTTTTTTTTTTTCCAAGTTTTGAATTTTTTGAATAATTCAAATATTTTTCGTGTTTTTTGATTTTTTTTTTCAAATCCTTCTATTTTCCAGATTGAATTTTTTTCAAGTTTCAATGTGATTTTTTTTTAAAGTTTTGAATTTTTTCAAACTTTGGAATTTTTTTTAAATTTAAAAGTTTTGAATAATTCAAATTTTTTAGAAATTTTTGAATTTTTCACGTTTTTTGATGTTTTTCTGATCCTTTTATTTCCTTAATTGAATTTTTTATTCTATTTTAAAGTTTTGAATTTTTTGAACAATTCAATTTTTTTAGAAATTTATGAATTTTCCATGTTCTTTTATTTTTTTTTCAATCCTTTCATTTTCCAGATTGATATTTTTTGATTTTTTTTTTAAATTTTGAATTTTTGAACAATTCAAATTTTGTAAAAAAATTTGAATTTTCCATGTTTTTTGAAAATTTTTAAATTCTTTCATTTTCCAGTTTGAATTTTTGTTTTAATTTTTTTCACAAAGTTTTGAATTTTTTATTTATTTTCCGGATTGAATTTTTTTCAATTTTTATTTTAATTTTTTTCAAAGTTTCAAATTGTTTTGAACTGACAAGTACCAAATTTTGTAAAAAAATTTGAATTTTCCATGTTTTTTGAAATTTTTTAAATTCTTTCATTTTCCAGTTTGAATTTTTGTTTTAATTTTTTTCACAAAGTTTTGAATTTTTTTGCACTCTTCAAATTCTTCTGAACTTTTTGAATATTTTAAATTT